ACCGAACTAGGGAACCACGGTTCCGTAGGTTCAAACTAGGAACCACGGTTCCGTAGGTTCAAAAAACTGGTGGGGGCATTGGACGGACTTCAGGGTGTGTGACTTTTAACATATCGTGGTCCATGCAGGTACGACGTGCGTCAGGGGTGACCCTGGAGCTAGTTCGATCCCCCAGGTCTCCTCCAAAGATGACATCTAGATGAATTTGTTCTCTGGAAATTTATATATATTAATGTGAATAATTTTTTTCTTAAAAACTATTAAAATAAAAATAAAATGAAATAAAATAATATAAAATATTGAATTAAATTGAAATATTAAAATTGAAATAATAGTATGAATTAATATTTTGTCTATGTAATTTTTTTTTTTTTGTATTTCAAATTAGGATAATACTCTGTAAACAGTCACTCCAATAATGCCATATAGCGCCTATAATGTAGCCTCAAAACAATGAGACATGCCCTCTCCCCCCTCCTTCTCTCCCTCCCACCCTTCTCTCCCTTCCCCCATTCTCTCTCTCCCTCCCTCCCTCTTCTCAAAAAGTCCATGTTTTGTATTATAAATCTTGTAGCTGGGGCCCGAAAAAACAACAGTCAAGCCTAACTTCTCCTGTTCCCATTTGTTGCAACTTTGTACTAAATTAGGCCTCAAATTCCGAATGTTAGGTCTATCTTGAGGTTATCTTGAGATGATTTCGGGGCTTAGCGTCCCCGGGGGACGCTAAGCCCAGCGTACTCCAGTAGAGGACAGCGCACTCCATTGGATAAGGGAGTACCTAAGCAACAGGACGCAGCGAGTCACCGTGAGGGGTGAAGTCTCGGAGTGGTGGGGGAGTCACCAGTGGAGTCCCACAGGGATCAGTCCTTGGATCTATACTATTTCTGATATACGTAAATGATCTCCCAGACGGAATTGACTCGTTTCTCTCGATATTTGCTGATGATGCAAAAATTATGAGGAGGATCAGGACAGAGGAGGATAGTATGAGGCTACAAGATGACCTAGGCAAACTGAAGGAATGGTCCGACAAATGGCTACTAAAGTTCAACCCAAGTAAATGTAAGGTAATGAAACTAGGAGGAACTAGGAGGCCAGTCACTGGATACCGAATGGGAGATGAAATCCTTCACGAAACGGACAAAGAGAAAGATCTGGGAGTTGATATCACGCCTAACCTGTCTCCCGAAGCCCACATCAAAAGAATAAAATCAGCGGCCTATGCAAGGCTGGCTAACATCAGAACTGCTTTCAGAAACCTGTGTAAGGAATCCTTCAGAACCTTGTATTCTATATATGTAAGGCCAATCCTGGAGCATGCAGCCTCAGCATGGAGCCCGTATCTAGTCAAGCACAAGACGAAGCTGGAAAAAGTTCAGAGGTATACCACTAGACTTGTCCCAGAACTAAGAGGCATGAGTTATGAGGACAGACTACGTGAACTGCACCTCACGTCTCTGGAAGACAGAAGAGGTAGGGGAGACATGATCACCACATACAAAATTCTCAGGGGAATTAACACGGTGGACAAGGATGGATTATTTAACACGGTTGGCACACGAACAAGGGGACACAGGTGGAAGCTGAGTACCCAAATGAGCCACAGAGACATTAGAAAGAACTTTTTCAGTTTCAGAGTAGTTAGTAAATGGAATGCATTAGGAAGTGATGTGGTGGAGGCTGACTCCATACACAGTTTCAAATGTAGATATGACAGAGCCCAGTAGGCTCAGGAACCTGTACATCAGTTGATTGACGGTTGAGAGGCGGGACCAAAGAGCCAGAGCTCAACCGCCGCAAGCACAATTAGGTGAGTACACCCACACACCCACACACACACACACACACACACACACACACACACACACACACACACACACACACACACACACACACACACAGGGAGTATCTAAGCAATAGGAAGCAGAGAGTTACGGTGAGGGGTGAGACCTCCGATTGGCGTGAAGTCACCAGTGGAGTCCCACAGGGCTCTGTACTCGGTCCTATCTTGTTTCTGATATATGTAAATGATCTCCCGGAGGGTATCGATTCATTTCTCTCAATGTTTGCGGACGATGCTAAAATTATGAGAAGGATTAAAACAGAAGAGGACTGTTTGAGGCTTCAAGAAGACCTAGACAAGCTGAAGGAATGGTCGAACAAATGGTTGTTAGAGTTTAACCCAACCAAATGTAATGTAATGAAGATAGGTGTAGGGAGCAGGAGGCCAGATACAAGGTATCATCTGGGAGAGGAAATTCTTCAGGAGTCAGAAAAAGAAAAAGACTTGGGGGTTGATATCACGCCAGACCTGTCTCCTGCAGCACATATCAAGCGGATAACATCAGCGGCATATGCCAGGCTGGCCAACATACGAACGGCATTCAGAAACTTGTGTAAAGAATCATTCAGAACTTTGTATACCACATATGTCAGGCCAATCCTGGAGTATGCAGCCCCAGCATGGAGTCCATATCTAATCAAGGATAAGACTAAACTGGAAAAGGTTCAAAGGTTTGCCACCAGACTAGTACCCGAGCTGAGGGGTATGAGCTACGAGGAGAGACTACGGGAATTAAACCTCACTTCGCTGGAAAACAGAAGAGTTAGGGGGGACATGATCACCACATTCAAGATTCTGAAGGGGATTGATAGGGTAGATAAAGACAGTCTATTTAACACAAGGGGAACACGCACAAGGAGACACAGGTGGAAACTGAGTGCCCAAATGAGCCACAGAGATATTAGAAAGAACTTTTTTAGTGTCAGAGTGGTTGACAAATGGAATGCATTAGGGGGTGATGTGGTGGAGGCTGGCTCCATACACAGTTTCAAGTGTAGATATGACAGAGCCCGATAGGCTCAGGAATCTGTACACCTGTTGATTGACGGTTGAGAGGCGGGACCAAAGAGCCAGAGCTCAACCCCCGCAAACACAACTAGGTGAGTACAACTAGGTGAGTACACACACACACCCACACACACACACACACACACACACACACACACACACACACACACACACACACGCACACACACACACACACACACACACACACACACACACACACACACACACACACAACTTCTTGAAGCCAATAAGGGAAATTTGTGAAGTCCTTGCAGACACGATCAGGAAAAACTAATAATCCTCAACTTTTACGGTCGAGTATTGGGACAACAACTTTTGTATAATGATCTCAACAACTTTCTTGGATAAGCCCAATTACTCTCCTCACACCAGTTGGCACAGATGATGATAATGATGATGATGATAATGATAATGATGATGATGATAATGATGATGATGTTACTATTTTCTTGTTGAAAGTGTTGACGACAATGGTGATGACTGAGGCCTGTGTTGATACCAGTGTCATGACAATAAGGGGCATTGCTAGATATGATGAATCATAATGAATGCTTCATATGGATGATGCTGAAGCGAGCGAGAGAGAGATAGATGATGCTTAAGGAGATGAGTGATGCCTAGGGAGATGATGAAGCTGAAGGGAGATTTAAATAATAATTGTTATTGTTATTTAAATCTCCCTTCAGCATCATCCATAAATCCAAAAATAAAATATATAAGACAGTCTACGGGCTCACCATAGGCCGTGCTACTTGGAACTTTTTGTTCCAAGTAGCGAATCTTAAACAACATCCAAAAATAAAAATCCGTTCAAGTTCACTTTGTCTCTATCAGTCCTTCCAGCATTTTATTTCCATTTTTAAGCTATTCTTATTTTCCACTCCAAACCTCTCACCCATGTCAACTCCGCAATAAAATAAGGAAAAAAAAACACACATTCACATTTGGCAAGAGTTTCAACATCCTACAGCCAGTCACAGCCTCGTCGATCAACACCCGCTTAAATACACACGTCGATCATGAAAGACCTTTTTGACTCGTCAGGACAAACGGCTGTGGATATCCTGCTCGGTCCAAGATATCTCTGAAAAACCCTTCAGATCTCATCGAAGAGGAAATCCCTGCCATCTACTCCAAGATATCAGTTCGCAAGGAACGCGCACCTTTTCTGGCCACTAAGAATTGGTAGCTGGAGCCAAAGTAATTTTGATAATGTTCGGAGGAGGGGGAGAAAGGGAGAAGGGGGGGGGGGGGTCGTTGGGTGGTGGTGGTGGGGGGGGGGGAGGCATTATTGATATTGAAGGTTATCTGGCCCCTATGAGCAGAGATTGTCTGGAAAATACAACAATATATTCAATACTAGCTTTGTTCACCCGGACAAGATGACAGTTCGTGTCCGACCCCGGTAGTGGAGGCCAGGCTCCCGCTCGCAACCCTTCCTCAGTATTTATTTACGGTGGCGGCTCCTGCTTCGTCGCTCGCTCCTGCCTCGTCGCCTGCTCCATTTCTTGGAGATTTCTCGGTCGTTTCCTCCGTCTATTCTCAGGACGGAGTCGCCGAGAGCCTGTGCTATATCGCCGACCTCCGCCATACAATATTCTTTTCTGATCGATGTCAAACTGATGGAGGGAAACAGTAAAAAGGGAAAAGTTTCCCTCCCCCCCCCCAGTCAATTTCATGTGTGGGTCGCCATTTTTCTGATTTGTTCCCTGTTCATCCCGCTTTCTCAGAGTCAACTTTTTTTTTCTTTTTTTTTTTGGTGTGTGACTGATGAGAAGGAGCTGTTTTTTTTGTGTGTGTAGAAGTCCATCTTGTTGGGGCGGCAATGTTCATTCGTGGAGTGAAGGTTGGGGAGATGGGGAGGTAGGGAGGTGGGGAGGTGGGGAGGGAAGAGGAAGATACATGCAGGGCAAGTGAGAAGTGTCGCCCTTTCTATGTGATCACCCGGTCGGGTCCAAACATTGCGGGGACTTGAGGGTGAGGTAGCAAAGGGGAAAGGGTAGGGAGGGGAGGGCAGTGGAGGGGAGGAGAGGGGAAGGGCGTAGTGAGCAGTGGAAAAGGTAGGTGGTGGAAGAGGTGAGCAGGAAGAAATGGGGTACGAGAGGGAAAATTGGTAGCAGGTAGATAATCAAACAACTGTGCTCACGTAAAACAGCTTTAGCAGCATCCTGCTCCAGATCCTCGAGTAGCATCCTGCTCCAGATCCTCGAGTAGCATCCTGCTCCAGATCCTCGGCAGCATCCTGCTCCAGATCCTCGGCAGCATCCTGCTCCAGATCCTCGGCAGCATCCTGCTCCAGATCCTCGGCAGCATCCTGCTCCAGATCCTCGGCAGCATCCTGCTCCAGATCCTCGGCAGCATCCTGCTCCAGATCCTCGGCAGCATCCTGCTCCAGATCCTCGGCAGCATCCTGCTCCAGATCCTCGGCAGCATCCTGCTCCAGATCCTCGGCAGCATCCTGCTCCAGATCCTCGGCAGCATCTCATCATTAACCAGCTCCATCTTATTATAACTCTTATGATACATCAATGTTGCGTGAGTCTCTGTGACTCACCCGCGTTAATTAAGAGAGTACATCGATGGTTCCTTCGTCCCACGATATAGAAGTAAGATCCCTTGTTTGTTTCAAGCGTAGGTTAGACATGTATATGAATGAGATTGCTCGGATATAAATAGGAGCTGCCTCGTATGGGCGAATAGGCCTTCTGCAGTTACTTTTATACTTGTGTTCTTACCTATTTTGAGCATATATTTAGCTTACCTAATAAATATATATATATATATATATATATATATATATATATATATATATATATATATATATATGTCGTACCTAGTAGCCAGAATGCACTTCTGGGCCTACTATGCAAGGCCCGATTTGCCTAATAAGCTAAGTTTTCCTGAATTATTATATTTTCTCTAATTTTTTTCTTATGAAATGATAAAGCTACCCATTTCATTATGTATGAGGTAAATTTTTTTTTATTGGAGTTAAAATTAACGTAGATATATGACCGAACCTAACCAACCCTACCTAACCTAACCTAACCTATCTCTGTAGGTTAGGTTCGGTTAGGTAGCCGAAAACGTTAGGTTAGGTTAGGTTAGGTAAGTTAGGTAGTCGAAAATCCATTAATTCATGAAAACTTGGCTTATTAGGCAAATTGGGCCTTGCATAGTAGGCTGAGAAGTGCGTTCTGGCTACTAGGTACGACATATATATATATATATATATATATATATATATATATATATATATATATAGATATATATATATATATATATATATATATATATATATATATATATATATATATATATATATATATATATATATATATATATACATTGTGAGACTCTGGTAGACTCTGACTTATGTCGACTCTTAAATCTATCTCCGTTTCTAAGGTGGGATTTTGTTTACACACGAATCCATTGCTACTCTCGAGGGCCTCTTGCACGTGCAAGACTTCTGTCTTGGTAACTCTGCGTTGTTTAGAGGTATAGCTTCCCGCAGCCATTTATCTCTAAAGTTTGTTTAGCTCATTCTCGTACTCTCATATAATCTTATCTCTGTTTTACTTCATAAACTTGACATCGTTTTTCAAACAAGAGTATTAGCGAGTCTCAGTGTTCGCTCTCAGGTCCTTGACGTATATAAGCAGCATCATTGACCCTTGTCACTGTTCCTTGTGACACAGAGCTCGTGTCCGTTCCTCTTCTCTGACCTCTCTACTCTCTATTGACCCCTCTACTCTCTATTGACCTCTCTACTCTCTATTGACCTCTCTACTGTCTATTGACCTCTCTACTCTCTATTGACCTCTCTACTCTCTATTGACCTCTCTACTGTCTATTGACCTCTCTACTCTCTATTGACCTCTCTACTCTCTATTGACCTCTCTACTCTCTATTGACCTCTCTACTCTCTATTGACCTCTCTACTCTCTATTGACCTCTCTACTCTCTATTGACCTCTCTACTCTCTATTGACCTCTCTACTCTCTATTGACCTCTCTACTCTCTATTGACCTCTCTACTCTCTATTGACCTCTCTACTCTCTATTGACCTCTCTACTCTCTCTCTCTCATTTAACACGTCGCAATTTTTAACGGAAAAGCCCAAATCCGTTAATAATGCGACGTGCTGCAAAATTCAAAGCATCTAATATCTGTATTTTCTAAGCATCGACCTCAGTTGGTACGTTTTTGGTTAGGAAAAAACTGTTGTATTTGTGTATACGAAGTGCCAAATCGAGAGAACAGTCTACACTATGACCCTCAGTTTCCCGCCCGATAGATGCCCCTGAATACCTCCCAGAAAATCCCAAGATGGGTATTGGTAAGCGGCAGGAGGTGGAGAATCTGAAGCTGGTAAGGGGGGAAGTTTGTAAATCGTTGGTAGTGGGTAATATTATTGGTAGCGATGGAGGGCGAGGCGACTTATTCTCTCGTTACATGTGGGGGGGGGGTCAATATTACCGTTCTTTAATTAATATTTACAATACGTCGTATTTTGTAACGTGTTAGGTGAGAGGGTGAGAGGGGGGCGGGGTCGTGTGGGTGAGAGGGTGACAGGGGGGCGGGGTTGTGTGGGTGAGAGAGTGAGAGGGGGGCGGGGTCGTGTGGGTGAGAGGGTGAGAGGGTGGCGGGGTCGTGTGGGTGAGAGAGAGA